ATAATAGCGACGTTTCGATTGCAACACAAGCAATCATCATCAGGCATAAAAAAATAGCAACAAAAATCTAACTAGAAAACTATAGACAGACATACAAAAAAAAAGTGTCGTGGTTATTCAATGGGGTCAAAATCATCGTTTTATTGAGTGGATACCAACCCTACAATTACATATTCAATCTGCTGCTATGAATCCATACGAAAGAAGAACATTGACGTCATCTGCCCAATTTGTATTCAGATATTACTTTTCTCTCCAGCATGAATATCGCAATAACAAACAAAAAATATACTTGAAAGTGCCAATATACTCATAACAATATGACAATTGCGGCGTGTAATAGTGGGGAGCCACTTTATTCATAATGATTACATATTGTGTTCAAAATCTAATACGATGCATACAAATGCATGGCACTCACAGGAGTAAGCAAATCTAAATTTGACGATCGGGATAAAAACAATTCAGCTACTGATTATTTCGTGAACAAGCGTTTGCAACATTTTTATTGTTTTGTATCTTAACCTTCACATTCTCGTACTTTAGATTTTTATTTTATTTTTCCTTTAGTTTCCTTGGTAACAGAAGCGTGTTATCCCCTCCGGATTTGTTTCCAATTTGGGACATCGCAAAAGAAACCCAGTTAAAGTAGTTCTTTCGGTAAAGTCACGGAGGTATCAAATAAATCACGACGTTTCGGGCGCAACACAAGCGTCCGTCATCAGGTGGGAAAGCATGGTCTGCTGCAGAGGCAGACTGTCACAGGACGCGCACGCAAAGACGCGTTCTCCCGATGAAGCGAGGATCGGAACTCAACTCTGCTCTTAGGTTTTTTTCGGTAAAGTCACGTAGGTAAAAAATTAAATTAAAATTAATAAATGTAATAATAGAAATAAAATAAAATAATAAATCACGACGTTTCGGAGGCAACACAAGTCTGCGTCATCAGGTGGGACCGTCAAAGCTAAAATTACTGCATCAAGTGAGGCTCACTTGATACAGTACATTTCTATTATTACTTTTATTAATTTTAATGTAATTTTTTACCTACGTGACTTTACCGCAAAAACCTAAGAAGTATGAATCCTTGCAGTCACGAAAGCTTCAAATCTAGAACTAAACTCTGCCCTAGCGTTGCATGCGGAGAGACATCGCCTCGAGTGCATAGTGGGCAATTCAGAGAATGACCTCTCAATTGCCCCTTGTGGCCACTCACCGCCCTCAGAACCACATCGCCTCGAGGGCACGTGATCACGCGCCCTGCCTGGGGAGTTGTGTGACTGTTGCATGGCAATTCACCGGACAATTCGATGTCCCCCACTCCCCCCTCTCTGGTGTGAGCCACGTGGCAGGCGGGAATTTGGGGGTGCGCGGTCACGTGTGGCCTAGGGCTGCCACCCCTCCTGAGGTTTCCCCCATGATCCTCCTCTTTTTGACGTACTGGAAGCGAGGCAAGCCGACGGAGTTTGGACGACTGTATCGTAAACGGCGCCGGTTGGTTATCTCGGCGGCATCGGCCGTCCGTCACGGCATCTCCAACGAAACAAATGTAGCGGCGAGGGCTGGGCTGGGTGGAAATGCAGTGCGATTTGGAAATGAAGGGCACATTTCATTTCAATCGGTGCCGACAACGTCAAGGCCAATGAGCAACATTTTATTTATTTGTTCGTGACTTGAATTCGCAATGACGCGCCGCACACGCGCACACTACAACAAGTGTTGTGGACCGACGCGACGAGTCTACCTTTTCTTCCAGGAGAAGCTACCCTTGAACGCTGTAGTTTATCAACAGATGTTTTTTTTGTGTGTGTGTAGAACTTTCCCATCGCAAAATCAAACGGCGTGCGGAGCGAGAGGTGGCACGGTGATTCACGCGCCGAGCTATGAACGTAGCGACCCAAGCTGAAATCCGAACCACAGCCGACATCAGTGGCGAGGGATCTCTAAATTGTCCCTGTGCCCTGTGCCCCCTCCCCGTCCCCACCGCCCCCACAACCCTATCACCAAATTGCACTGACCAGCGTAGTGAAGTATGGTCAAAACTCCCCACGAGCGCTATGCCTTTCATCTCACGGTGGATTGACTGTAAATTAGTATATTGATGTATAATTCACAACAAACTGAAGCCGATTTGCAGCCAAAGTCATTAATCGACTGTTTGTGATAATTTCGAGATCTCTATTGGATCTAAGACCATTGAGATACACAATTAGGTGCTACGTAATTTTCCCCATGACATCACCGTACTGTCAGAAGCGGCGTTTGATGTCTCTTTGAAAGGGTGGTGCAGCAATGCTTAATGGTTACCAAACATTCGTGATGGCTCACGCCATTAAGTGTCGACTCAAAAGCAGGCTTTACAATCAAAGCCGCTCTCTCCGTTCACGCACCTGCGTAGGGGCATTCCCCAGCCAGTTGTAAATTCCACCTTTCTATGACAGGGGGCCAGTCTCTTGCTAGGATGACCTATTAGTTCTCCGATGCGTTTTTGGCTTGTACCGCCGCATGTTTGCACGGACATCAACAATGCAGGGGTACAACTCTAAGATAAATCGGTGGTGATCGTTGACCTTTGACCCAACGGTATCACAACACTTCAGTGCTCGTATAACCACCACCACCCATGCTAGCCGGAACATCCACGTCTCTCTTCAGCCAAGCCTTACAACGACCCCCGTTCGCGTGCATTGCGTGCATATGTTGATTGCTAAGATTCTAGATCACTTCTAAAATAATTCCTTTCGAACCGCTTTGTGTGTTCAGTCTGTTGTGCTTCCACGGCGCCTCCGATTAGCGCGGTAGGCTACGTACGGCGCGAAAGAAGTCCAACGTGCATACGGTATATACACGCGAGACGAACGTGAGCTCGGCTGTCGAGAAAAACTGTTCTCAGACACCATAGCCACACAGATGATCAACTTTAGTGTCACGCGAATCAGTAAAGCACCGTTTTGGTGGGCGCAAGTGCTCCAAAGCACTACTACCCTCGCGGTGTTCTGTTCGCAAGGCCCCAAAGTCAAGGTTCAATTTCTGAACTCTAAAGCCAGGGTCATATTCACGCCTGTCAAGTCTCCTGCACTGCACACAAAGGTCCCCCGTATAGCCTGAGCAGACTGTTGGGGCAAGTGCTGTTAGCGAGCACCTATGAAGGCCGAAAGGGACACGAGGGGGTGGGTGGCCAGCACCACGCCTGACCGCCTTTGTCTCCCCAGTGGTGATGTTTACACACTGCACCAGGTACTCATTTGAGGCTGAGTAGACCTAGGGGAGGCCCGGGACCGGTTCAGATAATCGTCACAGGGTGTTGGCCGTGACCGTCGCTCCCTCGACCCTCCGTTGTTACTGGAGGGTGACTGCCTCCAACTCCCCCGCAGAATCATTCACAAACCTCCTCCACAGTGGCCCATCTTGACATTGCTGGTAGCAGTCATCGGCAAGTCCAATTAGCTCCACATCCATACTCTTTGGTTCTTTCTGTAAAGTCACGTAGGTATGATGATTGCTTGTGTAGCAATCGAAACGTCGTGATTTAATTTATTTTCTTTTATACCTACGTGACTTTACCGAAAGAACCAAAGTGTATAGATCCCTGCAGTCACGAAATCTTCAAATCAAGATTAGCTCCACATCCTTCTGTACCACATCAGTCCATGTCTTCTGTAGCCCGTGTCGCGCCCGTGTAGCCCCCTCTATTCAGCCGAACAGAAGCTGCTTGGGCATACCGTGACTAGGCATGCGGGCTACATGACCCACACACACACACACAGACAAAACTATCACACATTCAGTCAAATTCACACACACCACCACCACCACCACCGTCACCGCCACGCACAACACCCGTGCATCACCAGCCCATCACTCCGGCAGGCAGCTCCCCTCCCTCTGCTGGCCACCGCACTTGACGTCCCTGCCATCAGCAGCAAGGGGCACCAATGGGGAGGCGGTCATGCGTTGGGCAAAACCCCCGCAAAATTTGACAGCCTCGCAAATTGTATTACCGCTCCAAAGCTGCCATCACCGGCCACAATTAGTTTTTTTTTCTTTTGAAACCCGGTAGAAGGACGAGGGGGTAACGTACAGCAGCAGCAGCGGCGGCGGCTTCTGAGTAAAGAGCCCCCTGACCGGCAAAGCCGACGAGGTTCTCCACCTGACTTCGTGTTTTTCTATTTTAATGACCAAGGCGATGAGCGACGAACGGGCTCAGGTCTGTGCTTGTCTGTGCTGCTGCTTCTGTGTGGACAGCGGCACCCATTAGAGAGTGAGTCAGCCCCGGCCTCTCTGCGCGTGAGCCACGTGGGGTGGCGTTGGGCAGGCGGGAATTTGGGGGTGCGCGGTCACGTGTGGCCTAGGGCTGCCACCCCTCCTGGGGTTTCCCCCATGATCCTCCTCTTATTGACGTACTGGAAGCTTCTTCTTGGTTCTTTCGGTAAAGTCACGTAGAAGTGAAATAATAAAATAATAAAAATAAAACACAATAAAATAATTCTCACGACGTTTCGGCCACAACGCAAGCAGCCGTCCTCAGGTGAAGACCAGACAGCTGTCTCCCCGACAGACCTGTTCTCCACCTGAGGACGGCTGCTTGCGTTGTGGCCGAAACGTCGTGAGAATTATTTTATTATGTTTTATTTTTATTATTTTATTATTTCCCTTCTACGTGACTTTACTGAAAGAACCAAGAAGAGGAATCCCTGCAGTCACGAAAGCTTTAATTCGTACTGGAAGCTCTCGTGGGAAATAAGTAAATACTTTCCGGGACGTTAAACAACAACGACAACAACAGAATCCAGTTTGTGTCAGTTGTGCAATGATACACTGCCCAAGACAATGTATTTACGTGCGGTCATCTTCTCTTTCGGTATTAATCTTTAGTCCTGCCCCCGCACCTCCAATTAGCGCGGTTGGCTACGTACGTACGGTGCGAAAGAAGTTCAACATGCTGCGACGCAATCACTTCTTGTGAGTATCACAGTTGTTGTTTGTGGCGTGTCGCGTACCGTCCATGTCGAGGCGCTGCATGATGATCGCGAGCTCCACTTCGCTGGGCATGTGACCCAGCGACCTCATCGCCATGCCCAGCTCCTGCTTGGAGATGAAGCCGTTGCCGTCTCGGTCGAAGACGCGAAACGCCTCCCGGATCTCTGCACGCGCACCGCACCGCATACGAACGCCGCGTAAAGCCATCACGCGGTTTGGGGGGGGGGGCAAAGCGGTCGCAAAACCGCGTGGGGGTGCGGCCTTTAATTCGCTAAAGGATGAACGCAGCACAGAGGGGGGTCGGGGGGTCTCGACGCTGTTTGGCAGGAGGGCTTTCTGTCATTTGGATGTTTGGCCAAGTTCATTGATAATGGTTTAGAATTTTAAGTGCAGTGTTAACTTGTGCGTGACTGGTATATTCAAGAGTCCACAGCTGCACTGGCATGTTCTAACCGCCGCACAACACAAACCTACAAGAGGCAGTCTCCCCAATCAATGTGTTCATCTGGCTCAGGCCTGATTCGCTTTCGAAATCCGATGACATTGCGTGCATCCGGGGTGAATAGGTTGCAATGCGAGTGCTGGTGCTGGTGGGATGTGGGCAATGACATAACAGAACAATAAATAAACACTTTATTTCCACCACGTAACCAACGAAATTATTCAAAATCTTGGTCTATCAGGCGGTGGGCCTTCTGGGCACACTGCTGATGATCGGCTACAAGGTTGAAACCGGTCCGGAGTTTTCTGCTCACGCAAATGCTCCTAAAGACAAGAGCGAAAAAGGCCAAGAGGCCGGTGAATTATATTATTTTATTATTTCATTCTACGTTTTGGATGAAACGGAGACAAAATATTGTTACGTATTAATTTACTTACATTAACACCAACACATTTTAGAATGTATTTGTGTTGGCGGAGAACAGTAACTTTGGAATTCATTGCATTTTACAGATTCTATAAATATCTGCCTGCTTCAATGACATCAAGATTGATATTCCACCAATGAGAACATTTGATAAGGCCGCGTTAAAATCACAACCAAAAGCATGAAACGAGGGCCATACTTTAGAACATTTTAGACCACAATTGCAATTGAATACACGTGAATCCAAAAAAGTAAACTGCACCTTCAAATAATTGTACAGGGTCAGTGACCGTGACATTTTAATCGCCGTTCAAAACCGCGAGCCCATATCCAAGCGCTCTTTTCCAAAGGGGTTTGGTACCACGCGCAGGGAGATATACAGAAACCGGAATCACACTCAATTGAGACCCGCGGCATGTGGATAGCCCACACTCTGTGTCTCAACACGGAGAGCTTCCAATCTTAATCAACCCTCAAAGTGGTCCAGCAGCAGCAGGAGCAGCAGGAACAGCAGCAGCAGCAGGAACAGACACTTGTTAGCCCCCCAGCAGCAGGGCCCTATTCATCTGCAACAGTCATTTTCAATTTGTAAGTGGGGTGGCCCCTTCAGGAGCGGGGGCAGGAACCTGTCACTGTAGGGGAGGGGAGGGCCCCCCCCCCCCAGATCGTATCGTGGCCGCGTATTTTTAGCACGAAATTTTTTGTTTGGGTGGGGGGGGGGAGAGTTTTTTTGCGTGCAAATTTAGTTCAATTTATCTTCTTGGTTCTTTCGGTAAAGTCACGTAGAAGGGAAGTAATAAAATAATACAAATAAAACATAAGAAATAATAATTATTTTACTATGTTTTATTTTACCGAAAGAACCAAGAAGATGAAAATTTAGTTCAATTTAATTTGGGAGCTTCACTTTTGCGAGGTAACCTTCAGATTAGGCCGCGACTCGATATTGAAACTCAGTGGCGGAATGGGAGGGGGGTGAGTGGCAGGGTGGGTGGCAGGGTGGGTGGGTGTCAGGGAAAGCAAAGGGGCCTGTCTCGTTGAACATTGGAATTGCATCGTTTTAAATTCATTAACCGTTGCCTGCGTGGGCGTCGGTCGCACAGCCAAACATCTCTGTCTCATTCCAGGGAATTGTTTTTTTTTACTTCCGCTTTTAGTTGAAGAAGGAGAACAACAACAACAACAACAGAAACAAACAAAGCGCTGTGCCCTGCGAAATCCCACAGTGAGGGGAAATGATTCGCTGAGAACTGTCCCTTACGAACGGTGGCACGACTCAACGTCTTGGTTCTTTCGATAAAGTCACGTAGAATGGAAAAAATAAAATAATAAAAATAAAACATAATAAAATAATTCTCACGACGTTTCGGCCACAACGCAAGTAGCCGTCCTCAGGTGGAGGAGAACAGGTCTGTCTCCTCCACCTGAGGACGGCTACTTGCGTTGTGGCCGAAACGTCGTGAGAATTTTTCTTATTTTATTATTTCCCTTCTACGTGACTTTACCGAAAGAACCAAGACGATGAATCCCTGCAGTCACGAAAGCTTTAAATCGAAAAGGTGGCACGACTGTTGCTACCGTTGCGCACATCCGTATGCCACGATCCATAAGGCCGACGAGGCTGTCGCGCGGGCACTAATTGTGGCGTGTGGATGATGCTAATTCTGTGAATGCAAAAAAAAGAGGGGGGGATGTGTGGAGGGGGGAGCGGTAGTGTAGCGGGTAGCGCTACGCTGCGCTACGAACCCGGCGACCCGGGTTCGATTCCCGCTCACGGCCAACACCCAGTGACGATTATTTGAACCGGTCCTGGGCCTCCCCTAGGTCGACTCAGCCACAAATGAGTACTCGGTGTGGTGTGTAAACATCGATACTGGGGAGACAAAGGCGGCCGGGCGTGGTGCTGGCCACCCACCCCCTCGTGTGCCGTGTTGGCCTTCATAGGTGCTCGCTAACAGCACTTGCCCCTACAGTCTGTTCAGGCTACACGGGGGATCTTTGTCTAAAACTTGAACTTCTGCCGTGGACGTAATTCCCACCTCTCGTACCGCCACCTTGGCTCGTGCCCGAGACGTCGCCCCCCCCCCCCCCCTTTGCCGAGTGACGCGCGCGCCTTCGCCAGCAATCACATCGCTATTCCACGGACACGCTCTTACGCTTTAACAGGCGTCTTTAATGCACCCACGTGTTCTATGATGGGCTGACATATGGGCCAATGCCCTGATATTTACGGCGATGCCGTGCGCGCACTTAGGCATTCGAATGTCTCCACACACACGTTGGCGTGTCCTTACGTGAGCCCCCCCCCCCCCCACCACAACACGTGGGCCCTTTTGCCCCCAGGGCGCTTATAATGTAACACTTTTTAAATCCTTTATATTAAGTTCGCTTGCTTGCTTGCTTAGGACCGTGCAAATCTTTCGGTCGTTTTTTAACCCACTTCCCGTGATCCAATCGAGCTGACGTTTTGCACACAGACTCGTTGTGCGTGACAATGAATTTTCGTGAAAATTTTTTTCCAAAATTTTACACTGTTTAGGGAATTTTTTAAAAATATTTATTTACCAATTGGTTAATGCTGACACACAATCATCTGACCCATAGGTGGCAGCCATCTCAAGCCAGAGGACGAGAGGACTCTAGCCGCCCCGATGCCACGCATATAAAGAATTTATAGTGAAAAACTTTGTTTTTACGTGTTAATTTTTTTAAGTTTCACGTTTGTTTTTTTGTTTGTGTTGTTGTTGTTGTTTAGCCATGAGGTGAGAACTCAGGAGAAACGCGGGGTGCCGTCTCATCGGCAAAGAGTCACCTGGGCGGAGGGCGGTGGTCATCAGAATAACAAAAAAGCCAAAAAATTCGAAATAAAAGTACAACGATTCAAGCAAATTTTTGAATGGGAGCCAAAACAATTTCTGCCGCATGAGAAATGGAATTCTTCTTTATATAGCACAAACATAAATCAATGTTCGAGATCATAAACTCCCTCAAGCATTAGTCGACTCAGGCAGATTATGTTTCAGATTGTTCCTAATACGTTTTAGAAACATTAAACAGATACAGCGTGACTGTTGTCACCAACGAGTAAACAGATGTTGATGTATGTCAAATGCAATTGCAAGTGAAGTTATCATAAGGAATCGACAGATTAGCATCACGTGGTGATTTCGACATGAGGGTAACCGAGGACATATTTGAAGAGATGGAATTCCAGGCGCACATGTCCCTGTTCTCTGCCACGTGCCATTAACTTACGTTCTGACTCCTATATATATTTACAAATTAACGTGACTAGCTTGACGAAAGTACATTTGCAACATTATAATTCAATAAAAGATGCGTTGCTATCAAAGTGGAGCAATATTCGCATAAATACTCTCATTTGTTTAGGCTGTTTCGCCAAGATGAGAATCTGGCTCTCCGTGTCCTGCCTAATGAGGCTTTTCTGAGTTAAACAAGTGGCAATGTCTCCCAATAAACATCGGCAAACGTGCAAAGGACAATGTTTATTATAGTGCAGCAGCAGCAGCAACACGAATCATACATCCAGGAAAGCACCATTCTCAAGGCTATGGCACAAAGGTCCTCTTACGCTGCTGCCGGAGGAACGCAGAAACATTTGATACATTTTTCACATCCACGTGCTAGACGAAGATCCCCCGTGTAGCCTTAACAGACTGCTGGGGCAAGTGCTGTTAGCGAGCACCTATGAAGGCCGGCACGGCACACGAGGGGGTGGGTGACCAACACCACGCCCGGCCGCCTTTGTCTCCCCAGTGGCGATGTTTACACCCCGCACCCATTGGAGGCTGAGTCGACCTAGGGTAGGCCCAGGACCAGTTTAAATAATCGTCACCGGTGTTGGCCGTGGGCGGGAATCGAACCCGGGTCGCCAGGTTCGAAGGGCAGCGCGCTAACCGCTACACTACCGCTCCCCACCACACACACGTGCGCATCACCCCCCCCCTCCCCCACCGTGCCCCCCCCAAAAAACTAAGACAACCCCCCGTTGAGGCCACCCACGCCCCCCCCCCCCCACACACACCACACACACACACCACACACACCACACACACACCACACACACACACCACACACTACATACACACACACCATACACACACACACCCCCCACACACCCCCACACACCACACACACACACACCCCACACACACCCCACCCCCCACACACCCCCCACACACCCCCCGCACACACACCGCACACGTACCTTGCACCTCGTCCTCCGAGATGTCGGGCGGTCCCTCGGGAAGTTCGGGAATGCTGCAGAGGCCGCGGTACATGAGCCCCGTGCTGACCGGGTGCATCGGCATGACTGCCACGTGCCACAGGTGCGCGTGCCACAGGTGCGCGTGCCACAGGTGCGCGTGCCACAGGTGCGCGTGCCACAGGTGCGCGTGCCACAGGTACGCGTGCACGACACGTGCCGGTTTTCCACGCGCGCCGGGCCGAGCCGAGCCGAGCCGAGCCGGCCGCCACCCTCACCTCGGCCACACCTGCACACGCGCCGGGGGCCACGCCACGCGGTTATTATTGTTGTTGTTGCCGTGGTTGTTGTTGTTGTTGTTGCAAGTTCGTACTTTTGACAGTGCTTGGTAATTGTAAGCCGGCCGCTTGGGGGGGGGGGGCTGTGTTCATTTGATGAGTTCGCATCACGTTCGACGACGACGACAGGAAATATGTTGGTCAGCTAAAGGGGAATTGGCCACGACGGGTGGACTTCGTTCGTCGAGAGTTTGAGTTTTTTATTTTGTCGATTTGCTACTCCTAAATAACGTCGGAAGGAGCGCAGACTTACAGAGTCGGTCCAGATGCGTTGTGACCCCCCCCCGCCCCCCGCCAAATTAACTGACCCCTAAATTAGTTTGTTTGTATGTTTATTTCAGTTTTCAATTAACTTTTTTAAAATATATATATGAATTTCGATTTAAAGCTTTCGTGACTGCAGGGATTCATCTTCTTGGTTCTTTCGGTAAAGTCACGTAGAAGGGAAATAATAAAATGTTTTATTGTTATTATTTTATTATTTCCCTTCTACGTGACTTTACCGAAAGAACCAAGAAGAATATATATGAAGTTTTAGAGAATTAAATGGGGGGGGGGGGTGGGGGGGTCACAAGACATCCGGACCACCTTGTACAGCGGTTTTTCTTATATGGGTCCATAGTTTGTGTTGCGTGACCACAATCGCACCACTCGTGCCTTTGAACGTTCCATTTAAGAAGAAGGAGTGGCGCCCGCCGGCCCGTTGACGTTCTGATGCGGTCGGTCCCACGGTCAACACCGCCAGTGTCTCGGGGCACTGCGCTCATGAACTTAGAAAAAAATAAAATAAACAAACAACACACGCCAGCCGGAGCCTCTTACCCAGCGGTGACGGGGGAAGAGCTCCCCCCCCCCCCCCACCGTGCCCCCCCCTCCACCGTGCCCCCCTCCACCATGCCCCCCCCTACACGATGCCCCCCCCGTCATGCCACCCCAGAATGCCCCCCCTCCGTGCCCCCCCACCATGCCCCCCCCACCATGCCCCCCCACCACCATGCCCCCCATCATGCCCCCCCACCATGCCCCCCACCATACACCCCCATCATGCCCCCCCACCATGCCCCCCCCACCATGCCCCCCACCATGCCCACCCACCACGATGCCCCCCCACCACCATGCCCCCCATCATGCTCGCCCCACCATGCCCCCCCCCCACCATGCCCCCCTCCACCATGCCCCTCCCACCATGCCCCCCCCCACCATGCCCCCCCACCAAGCCCCCCCCACCGTGCCCCCCCCACCATGCCCCCCCCCCACTATGCCCCCACCATGCCCCCCCCACCATGCCCCCCCACCATGCCCCCCCCACCGTGCCCCCCCCCACCTACTCCCCCCCGCTCCCTGCCAGGTGGCAAGAGGAGATTTAATCGCTGCCGAGTCGTCGGAGAGGGAATTTTGAAGACGATGGGTTTTGTTTTTTTTAAAGGTTTTTTTTTTTTTAAAGGTTTTGTTTTTTTTAAAGGTTTTGTTTTTTTTAAAGGTTTTGTTTTTTTTAAAGGTTTTTTTTTTTACGGTTATGAAAAAGTAACGTTTACGTAAACACGGTGTCACGGTTTGTTTGTTTTTTTACAATTTTTTTAAACAAATATTTTAATTAATCACTGCTGTCACACACATTTGAAGTTACTTCCATGTTAATCAAGCAACGGGGAGCGTTCATCGTTAAAAAAACATTCTCAACAGCCTCAGCTGAATGCAAAGGCGAGTGAATGAAAACGGAGCAATATTCAGAATTCCACACGAGCAGCAAGTTCGATTTGTACAAAAGTTTGCCTGCAAAGTCACCACGATACAGTTTATACATTTTAGTATGAACATCCAATGCCGGCCAGGTTATGTTAGCAGAGAGCAGATCATAACATGATCGTGGTCAGTGAAGACACGAACCAATAAAGTCCAAAGTCGCGTTCCACTCAAATGAGAAATGAACGATACTCATCTCCCGGTTACAGCTCCTGGGCCACTGGTGACAATTCCACATTTCCATGGAGAGGACAAGTCTGTTAAAAAGGAAAGACAGCTGCCGTTGCCTTTCCACAGCCTGTTACTCGTTTGATCAAGCCGAGAAGAACGAAAGGCTGAGATGAAAGACAAATACTCTGATTGTAAATGTTGCGGCTTTGCTCTCCAACACACCGGTGTGCTGTACTAGTGACGAATTGGCACGTTCTGTTTACGTGACAAACCTTACTAATTGGCTGCGTCGGGGGGTGGCGGGTTTAACGACACATTGATATTTTCGCGATCTAACAAAAAAACTCTCTATTATGGATGATATAAACTTGGAACATTGCAATTACAAGATGCGCTCTTCTCTCTAAACACATGACCCCCCTCCCCCCACCGGTCCCGCATGCACACATCTAATCAAAGCATCGTGATTGCATTCATCTCCGAGCAGTTTCCAGCGCGTTCGGCTACTTACGGTGCAAAAGAAGTTCAACATACGTGCAATAGAACTGATTTTATTTTTTGAAATCAGATGCTATCCAGGGTGAGTTCGCTTCAGGTCACTTACGCACTACAGAAGCAAATGGGCATGACCCGGACACAAACACGAAGATCCCAAAATACCAGGGGGTGGTCAGGCAATAACTTAACTCTCCACCGGAGACGTCGACATGCCACGCCAAGAACTCATTGCATGCCGAGCTGACCCAGAAGAAGTCCAGGTCAGGTTCAATAGCACCTAAGTGGCGATGACGTCACCACGGCGCTTGTGCCAGACTAGGTGCACTTTGAGTGCCACGTGAAGTGTCCAAAACTGGCTGGTAGGAGGTCACGTGACAGACCCAGGTACCGTGGGTTGACTGACTGAGATGACTGATAGATAAATGCATCACCTGTGCTCCCCACTGTGCCGACTTGCTGTATTTTAGCTGCCCGGAGCTCCGCTACGTTGTTGTGAGCGTCGCTCCTCTGCGCTCCGCTGTTGTTGGAGGGTGATTGCCTCGAACTGCTCAGTCGCGTTCCAGTCGCACCAAAACGCACAAGACAAAGATCCCTGTAAAGCCTTAAGAGACTGTTGGGGCAAGTGCTGTAGCGAACACCTATGTGAAGGCCGGCACGGCACACAAGGGGGTGGGTGGCCAGCACCACGCCCGGCAGCCTTTGTCTCCCCAGTGGCGATGTTTACACATCGTACCAGGTACTCATTATATGCCGAGTCGATCTAGGGGAGGCCCAGGACCGGTTCAAATATTCGTTACTGGTGTTGGCCGCGAGCGGGAATCGAACTTGGGGTCGCCGGGTTCGTGGCACGACCGCTCCCCACATACACAATACACACGCAGAAAAACCACACTTCACGTGTCAAAAACGAATGGCTACAAATTGGTCATTTTACTTAATTGTACGAGTGTGCCAGTTTACTTTGCAACCTCAGTGGGCTCTCATCGGGCTAACACAAGGGCAGGAGAGTTACTGGAAGCTTTGTAGAATTGAGGCTCGTTGCAAGTCGTGTAGCCACCACGCACAAGCAGCCTCGGCTTGTGGGCATAATGGTGGAGGGTTGTGGGAGGTGGATGCAGCAATATCCTTGCTGCTCTGCGCTCCACCGTACCGTCAACAACAACCCACACTGACCAGGGTGGTCAAGTATGGTCGAAGAGTCTTTCACGGCCCGCGATGCACAGAGTAAACCCTCGTCCGTCATTGAATTGATAGAATCTGGCTCTGTTGGTTGAGTGTGCTTGTCGATTACTGATTTGGTAAAAAACAAAGTTTTAAAAATAAAAAAGTGGTTATAACGAAGAGACGGAGTTAAATAAAGGCAGAGAGAGTAGTATGGTGCGGAACACACACACACACGTATACAGGGTGCTTTAAAAATGTTAACGCTTATATGGGACTATCGTTTTTAATGGGAAAAGAACGGTATAATGCACCGTAACATGATAACAAATGTCATGTTAATAGCTTCAAAAAGTCAACGAGTCTCCCACTTGTTCGCCATCGTTGTCAACGTGTGGCCTGGAATCTTCTCCAGGTGGTCTCCAGAGCCCCGGAAGCAGCACATTTCTTGTGATGTTGTTGCAAATTCTCACAAGTGTCAACATTGTTTTGAAGCACCCTGCATCATGAGAGACGCGTGCCGTGCTGAGCTAAACATGACGCAGGTGGCATCGGCGGATTGAAATGAATACTTGTGGAGAGAGGGCCCAGACTGGCGCGAATGAATGGTGATAGGGGGTCGAGTGTTCCACAACGAGGCATTTACCGAGGACCTCCCCCCCCTCGGGACCCAGGGGAAAGGCAGAGAAGGGAGGCTTAATCGGCAAGAGGGTACACAAAAAAACACGCATGGTGCAGGCGCGGAATTTGTTTTAATTATGGCAGAAGCAGGAGACCAGAGGCACGGGTGGCACGAGATGCGCGGTTGAACACGCGGGGGAGGGAGGCGAGGTGGCTTCGTGAGTACAAAGACAAAGATCCCCCGTATAGCCTTAACATAGTGTAGGGGCAAGTGCTGTTAGCGAGCACCTATAAAGGCCGGCACGGCACACGAGGGGTTGGGTGGCCAACACCACGCCCGGCCGCATTTGTCTCCCTAGCGGCGATGTTTACACATCACACCAGGTACTCATTTGAGGCTCAGTCGACCTAGGGGAGGGCCCAGGACCGGTTCATATAATCGTCATCGGTGTTTGCCGTGGGGGGAATCGAACTCGGGTCGCCAGGTTCGTAGCGCAGCGCGCTAACCGCTACACCACCGCTCCCCCGTGAGTACGCACGCGACAACACAGGAAGTGGGACTCGAGCACTCGTCGGCTCGAGTTTTGTTTGAGGTTTTTTGTTGTTGTTGTTGTAAATTTGTAAACAACAACAAAATAAACGCACAGCCCATTTCGTTGCGTCTCATCGTCGCAAGTGTGCGTTTTTAATCGGAGCGACGATGTCCGATCCCATCGCCCTCCCGCGAAGGCACGCGAGAGCTCATTCGGTTTCATAA